AGACTGCATTAAACAATTCAGGTTAGAACAAGCTTTAGAACAAAGAGATCGGCCCATGATTTGCTCGTGGGCCGTATGCTGCCAGATTGACCCGATCAAAGCACGTGAATTTTATTCCAGGCAGCCGGAGCCTTCGGTCATCCCAAGGAAACCTGCAAAGTAGCCGGGTGGTATGTGACAACCGCACTTCATTAGGGGTTGGTATTCGGCTCCTCGGATTTTACACCCTTCGGACGTCCAAAGTACTCAGTGCACCGTGATGACCAGTCGAGCCGGTGACCACTGTCGCAGTTAGGAAGGTGTGTGCCTGTGGTTCGTACGTCTCTTCATGGTTGATTTGGAATCATCGACCCTGTTATAACCCTGGATGTTGGCTTTTCGGCTTCGAACTGTAGTGGGACAATACCTCCGCCAGGTGAAGGCAGTGAGCAGGTTTTCCTCAGCAACGGCTATTTGAGGCACTTGGTCGTGTGAGAAAATTTCGTGAATTGAAAGGGAAGGATGACCAGCCGAAACCCTAGATACCCAATCATTATCATATTGTGGCCTTCGGAGTCCCGCTCATCGTTAGTCTATTTTTTAATCACAAAATGGCGTGCAAATCGTTAGTTCATAATAGGACCCTGGCCGTCTTATCGTAGTTACCAGTTTATGCTCCCTTCATTCTATTGGTGCAAATGAAATTCTACATCATATCTGATAGTCGATGCCCGAAGATTACTCGATCAGTACTCGTTTCTGAAAATTCGTTTTTACTTCTGGATAGTTACGGTGAATCGCCTGTTTCTCGCATTTACTTTATCCTGTTGATGTGCCTGTTGCGCACACTAGCAAAGGACTGGACGGCACAGCACAGCACAGATGGTTCATTCGGGATAGCGTTTGTCAGAAGCGCTTAGTCATCGATTCCGTCAAACTTGCTTGTTGTTGCTTGTGTTGTGAGTCACACAGGTCTGGCTACCGAAGCGCAATTACCTACGGTTCGTATTACGTCAGCCACATGCAATGTGGTGTCCATCTGTCTCCGCCTTTTGGACAGGCACACACACACGGCCTATGTTGTTTTCCCCACGATATGTATATCGAAATTGGGCAGTAGCTAAGTCGAGATCGTTTGTGCGCGATTGTCAGACCCATTCATTGGGACGCAGTTATAATCGGTATTGTTTGATTCGTATCGTACTCATTGATGTCTTGGTGTATGAAACTGTAGAATATCATCTATCTAGCATGGTTTACCATCCCCATGAATGATGTTATGTAGAATAAAGATTGAGCTGACCAGAAAGTGACTTCATGTAAAAGTAAGAAATTTTGTGCTTCATCAAATTGGACCCGTAACTTATCTGGACCGAGGACCTCACGGTCAATGATACTGGGTGATATGATGGAGTGTTTTGAACAGTGTCGCTTGTGTCTCTGCCCACCATTTACGCAGGTCTAGTTGATCCGTCTTCTTTAATCTGTATCCTGCTTTTACTCTTAGGGTTTTACTCCATTCTCCTAATTTTTTCTTTAATGGTGAACTAAATATGGAGCTCCAGGTCACTGTAAGGTCAATGGATGTACACACTGAATTGAATCAAGTAGTTTTTGTAATATTATTTTTCAACAAACAGATTTTTTACAATACACCACAATATTCACAACTAATTTACCTCTGTTCACTATTCAATATCAGATGAAATACTCAAAACCCTTGGCGAAGGTACATTTGGAAAGGTTGTGGAATGCAAAGATCATGTACAGTAAGTTCTGCCTGCCGTTTAATTGGACCTATTTTCAGCTACCATTAGTTTTTTCTGGTTACTTAGTAATGTCTCTTATCTATCAAACCGTTGCTTAATCGACTGGAATCGCACTTCTCATTTCGTCCGTTAGTCAAACAAACGAATGTGTCATCAAATTAGTTAAAATAGACGATGGTTGAATACCGATACAGATATGTGTTGATGATGATGCTTAGACCATCTTGGGAAACGTTTTTCTCTCAAGTCAACAGACAAGGAGACATCCATGGACCTGTGATGCAATCTAGGCACGCCTTTCTCACGGTAACGTATACTTCAGTACATGGTCTGTCCTTGATAGGATGTGTATGGCATGGGTCTTAAATAGCTCAAGTGGTTGCAAACTCCTCTTTAATACGCGGTTCGGTTGAAAGGTTGATCATAGGAGAAAAAAAAGAAGAGACAGCAAAACAGGATTAATCTCAAATTGCAAGTAATAGAAAAATGGGTATGAATCGAAGCCCAGAACCGTGTGGAACACTGAAGTTCAGGGCCGATTGTTTCAGTAACATATGCAATGAGCTTCAAATAATGAACGATGTATCCTCTATTATTGTGCTGCACTTGTACCCTGGGACAACGCAATCTGAGGTATAGAGCTTACAACACTAGAGAATAGAGAGAACAATGCACTGGGGGCATCACTGCATGCATTCTGAGGCGTAGGACAGAGAAAAATTGATTATTGCAAATCTGATCAATCATTCTGACCTTTTTCCATATGTCGGAATGCCTTGCTTTTACCTCTGATGCAACAAGTATTACAATGTTTGTTGGAGATATAGAAGACTGAGGCGCGATTGTTGGGGGTGTGAAAATTGCTGCAAAGGTATTTTGTAATCGGTGATAGGAAAGTTAGACTTTTGGTAGATGACGTCATTATTGATAACTTATTTTTGATCGCTTTTTTATACCACCTCGGTATGCGTTTTGCATTCAAACTGGAGTCATCTATTTCTCAACTGTCATTACTGTTTAGGAATTCAGTTCCTGATCGTAAATTATTCCCATGAGGGTATGAAAACCCTGACCAGGAAACTGGCTCACATAGGCTCCCTGGCTGGGGACCCCGAGATCATGATCACCGATGATTAGAGACACTGAATGATATGACTGAGTGTCGAGAACAGTGGCGCTCATGCATCTACTCATTATTCTTGTAACTTCAGTCTATGAAAATGTGCTACGTTCCGCTTAAATGTGCTCTCAACATTCTGCTATTCTATCCAAATGGGCAACCAAAGCCGGCGAACGAAAGTGCATGGTTAATGGTTGTAAGAACTGAACTGAACAGAAATTATTCCCATTGATGTCCCAGAACAAGGCAGAATCATGAAGAAATTTATTTTCGATGTATCGCCTCATGCATCTACATATATAGTTCGATTAGTCAGTAGATTAATACAAGTCCTAGTCTAATGTTGAATGAGTTTCTGTGTACAAAATGTTCGGTTGACAACAAGCTGTGGGGTTTCGCTAGTTAGATAGGGAAAAACCGGATTAAAAATATGTCTACTATCCACGATATGAGAGGCTTTAGTCAAGAATGAGTAAAACAGGTGTGTGTGAGAGAGAAAAAGATAGTAAATCGGGAGTTGGGGTATGGGGAGAGAGGGATAATAGAAATTGTCACAGGGATATGGGCAATTATTCTTATGGCCATGGTAACAATAGCGCTTGAACCAGATCACGTTGCTCGCACAACTCAGGCTTCATAATCCTAATTGCTATAGCTTCCGCAGTTGTTAAGATCTCCTTACGTACTTCTTAGGTTTGTTTCTTTGGTACAGTGAAGAAACTTATAACTTATGTTTCTGGGAGAATCCTGTGCCCAATTTTGACCAAATGTTGCAGGATTGAACTGTTCAAGCCATTCACTGATCCCTTTCGAAGATCTGCTGAACAATGTTCAGATATTCTCTTGGAGAAATGCCTCGTTGTGTCCGATATAGCGAGCACTACAAATGCACGTAAACTGATATAGAATAAAAAAGGGACTGGCGAGGCAATTTATCTTTAAGCTGTTGAACAATGAATCGCTTATTCCTCGATGGCAGTCTTAAATGCGTCGCGGGAAAACAGTTGGCAATAGCTTTGGATAACCCATATTTCATGATTTCTAATGCCCCGTCTCCCTTAAAGTGAACGTTGATAAACACCTTCTTTCTAGCCCGTTGTGCTTTTCCATCGTTTGGTCTTGATTCCATGTGTAGTCGAACAAACGCTTCTGGGTATCCGTTCTTTTCGAGGATCTCTTATGTAGGTCAACTCTTCGTTCAGGGTTCTCCGGAATACAAATTCTCTTTGTATTCTAGACAGTTCGTTAAATTTTGTTCGTTTCTCAGTTGGGCGAAACTTTGAAAATGTGTGTACTATCCAACCCGCTTACGGTTTACTTTTCTTTCGACATGACCATTCTCTGTACGACGAAGACCAATGTCCAGAAAGGCAAAAAAGTTGCCGTTTTCTATCTCCATTGTAAATCGTATACTCGGATGAGCGCTGTTAACTGCTTGAAGTAAGTTATTAATGTCCGTTCCGGAGTCGCAAATGGTGAATGTGTCATCCATGTTGTTGTGTCGTTCCCGATCACTCACAAGTAACACACAACAAGGATAACACACGGTGACACACAATGACACAGAACGGCGAAAGGTACAATGCGCCCGAAGGGGAATCGATGTACCACAACGCAACACAGCATCTGATCTAGACTGTCATTTGTGTTCCTCAATGGTCCATCTTCGAACCTAGCTAAAATATATCTGCCAGGAGTGGTCCAAGCGATGATCCCATTGCTACACAGACATTCATTCAACATGTATTGTATTAATCTACTGACTAATAGAACTATATATGTAAATGTCCGAAGCGATATATCGAAAAGAAATTTCTTCGAGTTTCCACTTAATTCAGTTGCTGTCCGGGGATTTTCTATGATATGCTTTTAGAACCTAGCCCTCAAAACAAGAATGTTATGACAATCAGTACGATTGATCGTCCGTTAACCTTCTATTCGATCAATGCGAGTCGAAATGGGATTCTCTTAAGCAAAATCTTTTTGTGACACAGTGGCCATTCCGCTTAAATCGTCTTTCGAGTGTGTACAATTACTGTAGGGGTAAAACTTCAAATAAGTAATACTAACAGATGTGGATCTTGCATATATTGTTTTTCATTGTTTCAATTTGATTCGTGATCGGTATAAATTCCCTTATCGACCATCATCCTTTTACCCATAGCTTTCATAGTCCACAAGTGCAGATAGGTGTATACTTTTAGAAATAGTAGATATTCAAAACGTGTGTTGAAAATGAACATCGTCTTTAGTATGGTCCTGATTGTATTCGACCGACTGTAAATATCTTTTCTACTTCGGGAGGTTGTTGCCATGTGGCCCTATCCGGACGGACGGTCTTTACACATGTCGAGTTTGGTGCAATCCTATAGTCAGGTGGTCACATTGCCTGCTGGGCGTCTGGTTGCGCCATAGACGCGTCTTCCTCTCTCTGACCCGTTTCATGATGTGATCATCCAGACTGCCATTGTCTCGCCTCCACAGAATTGTCTCATGTGACTGCTATGGTCACGTGATCCGTCGTGACTGGCATTTATTGTTGTTTGTTGTGCGGATCGTGTCGGCGCCTGCCCAATTCACCCCTTCCTCCTGCAAACCTCTCTATCCTCGTCACTAATCATAGCGTGTGGTACTGACTGTTTCATCATGTGTTTTGTCGGGAACTATTGCCTGTCTGGTAACATTGATATCCCGCGTGCCGTTTACACCCGTTCGTTTTTCTTACTTATGCGCTATTTTGGTTGTATTATTGTGTTTTGGTCTCAATATGCAAACGTGAGTGTTTTATGCTTCACCGAACTCTCGAAAGCAAGATGATCTGATTGTAACTGCCCATGTTTTGCATTTCAACTCTGTTCGCAGGAATCGCCGCATCGCCCTGAAAATTATTAAAAACGTGGACAAATATCGTGAAGCGGCGATGTTGGAAATCAACGTACTTAACTTCCTTACCGAACGTGGAGCCAATATCGATCAGTAAGTCTTTTTATCTGCAAATACTTGATGTCTAACTGAGTGGTGTTGTTCTTCAAGGGGTTTTTGACGTGCTCGTTGGCATGCATTTAACTGTTAACTCCGCCATCGTTATCCAGATTTAGTAACAAACACTTGCTGTCGTCCGGCTTGAGAACAGACCTATCCCATTTAGACCTTACTCCGAGCCCCAGCGCCTAGGTCACCAGCATACATAAGTATGCAGTAGGTTCCGTAGTTGGTGGACTACTTCGAAAGTTTCTGTATGGTCGGAAATGGGTTGCTGGGATTGTGATTGGTCCCTTTTACCTTGTACCTTTCGAATTCCTCCTGTCAGTATTTTGATTTCGATCAAACCATGGACCAATTTCTTTTTTCGCATCGTGATCTGTTTGACACACTGTCTGGACACAGGCAATACTACACCACTGATCATGTGCCTGTCTGTGAATATGCGGTGTCTAGCAGAAATCAATTGTTCACATCGTGTGGGTTGTTATTTTAGATTAGAAAGAACTATGTATTCGTGAACACATATGATATCCATAGCGATCGATTTCACATCTGCTGTTTGCATCTCGATCCATGGTCGTGACTACACTCTGTTTTGTGTATCTGATAATTTAACCGCTTGTATGTGAACTGATTGACACTTGTGGTGCGTGGGATAGCATATACTACAAGAACACTACTGTCCTTGGTGGTTGATCATCTACATCGAAACCTTGTTCATCTCTACCTGGATTGTGTTTTCTATACAACAGTCCATCATAAACTTTCTGTTCATTCCTACTCTGGGACATTTTGTACCGGAGAATTCTGCAGCCGATGTTTTACTTGTGCTTGACTTCAAATGGTCCACATATGATCCGTCCAATTGTGAGCCGATAAAGTTTCCTTTTCCGCTCTGCATGCTGGGAATGTAAGTATTCACGATTTGATACCGCTTCGAAAAGAATAAAGTTATCGGTCGGAACCATGGATGGACGCTAGGTCGAGTGGTGAGCAGAGAGGCAGAAATTGCACTCCNNNNCTTAATGGGCTACGACACTATAACAACATATGTGATAACCTTTTGGTTATTTTTCTTTATCTGTCTCCCTGTCCCTTGCACACATATGCACTATTACCAAACACATTGCTATCTGCTCTCTGTGTTCGTGGTTTAGTTCATTTGATCGTTCTTGGTTGCTACAATCCTAAAAAATTCAGCTGTTATCGATTAGATCTTTGGGTCGCCTAAGGAATGACCAACCGTATCTAGGTAAACATTACTTTACCCACTACCACTGATATACCAAGATCTTTCCGGGTTTTGTTTCCAAAACATAGGACATGAGGATGCTGTCACGTCGTGGCGGTCCGCTTGTTGCCCTACCGTTGACGTTAGCCTGCCCGAGGATGAAACACAACGTCAAATAGAAATGGAATGTAAATTTATTAACAAAATTCCGGATACAGACTCTTTCTGTTTTGTTGTGCTATGATGTTTTCGGCACTCATTCTTGATCCACTTATATGCCCCTGGTATATCAGCATTTCCGATAGCGCAATGTGGTCTCCGTATTCTGAAAGGTCTAAATCGCAATTTACGTTTGATCACTGACGGTTTCAAACTACCAATCAATTTCATTTGGGGAACTGTAATTTTTAACAACTACTCTCAGCAATAGTTAAAAATGGAGATAACGACTGGGGTCTTTCAAATTCAGGCTATTTTCCCTCTCAAATACACTGATACACCGGTATACAGGTGTTGACCAAACTCGTGCAACATCACCCTCATTTTGAAAACCCACTTCAGCTTGCAATAGCATACTTATATGTAGATGGTTATGGGTACAATGTATTT